CCCCCCGTCGCAACTCCTCTCCGGATGACGAACGAACGCTTTTGCGGTATTATAATAAAGTCACTAGAGCGTGAATGCGAGAGAATGAAAGAGAAGACGACGAGAGAGAGAGGTGAGCGCGACGAGGTAGGCAAAGGGAGAAAGGAAACGGCGCGAGAGAAAGAAAGAGAGAGGGAGAGAGAACGAACGGTGGAGGACGAAGGAAAGAGAGAGAAAGAGAGAGGGATGAGAGAGGACTCTACGCAGGCGTCGATAGGCGGTGTAGCGCGTAGGTCAACGTACTTTCTGCCAGGGCCGCACGATATTTCTCGCGGGTGCAAGGAGAGCCGGCGGCGCGTCAACTACTTTCACTAATTCGTCGAGCTTTCGACGTCCGACGTGAAATTTCTAGGCGCGGGCTAGACCGTGCACGCGATACTGCGCAAAACAGCGCGATTCCTGAAAGTTTCCCCCTCGAGGAGAGCAGAAGAAAGAAAAAAAATCGCGCGACGTTGCGCGGGAAACGCGGATTTCGCGTGTGACAACGATGAATGATTAACGTTTGGAAAGTGTTTCGAGATCGCGACTACCAGCGTATCTACTTGAATCGATATCCCGCGAGATCGATCCGGACGTTCGGCTAAAATTAGAGTGAAAATTGGCGTTCGACGAGCGGAAATCGTTTCTTGCTTCACTAAGGGCTTCGTTTCGATTAATCTCCCCGAATATCATAGCGAGATATTATTTCGTGTACCAGAGAGACATCTGCATTATTTCTTCTCGATCGGCCGGACGAAGATATCTGAAATTAATACGAACGAAGTGGTCGAGTTGTGCTGTAGAGAGTAAAGCAGTAAAGCAAGGACGATTCTCCGTCGCGACGAGCGCGCACATTTACACAGCCGGCGCGCGGCTTATATACAGTTATAAGTTTGCGTTTTATAGGAAACAATATTTCTGATAGGAGCGACGTTACGTGCCTCTTGAGCGCGATCGCGTGATGATCCTCGAGCGTACTTTATTCACGAGCCATTGACTCCGCCGGCTGTAAAGCTTAGCTGCACTTTTATTACGATGACTCACGCCGATAAGCTAATTGACTACGGAACAGCGAATTCATTGAAAAATACTCGTACTGTATCTTCGCTCCTCTCTTCCGCGTGTGTGTCGGCTTTTTTCCCCGTGCGGACGGCGTCTCTGACGTCTCCGTTCGCGCGCCGACAATACCGCGTTCGCGTTGCTTTTTCCCCGTCAGCACTGGGTTCCCCCAGTGACCTCGTACTTGACCCGCCGCCAAGGGGGGTAAAGCGCTTTTTCCACCGAGCTTTGATTCCGGATATACTTGGCTGATCGCGTCGTTTATCGGAGAAACTTATCGCTTTGAGTGGAAAACGATGTTGAAAGGACGTTGGATATTTGCTCTATGTATTGAAATGCGACGAGAGGGATCATTTCGTTGCTTTTGTATCTCGCTGGCAGAAGATACAAGATAACAATGACAACATTGTTCGATTCTTTAATAATGGAGGGGATCTAATGGGACGGGAAAGTGCGCGTAACTTGGAGTTTACACGCTCGAGATCCCCGGTCGAAATTTTGATACTACTTTGACGCTCCTGATGATAATTCGCGAGTCTATTTGAACGACCTATAGATTAGTAAACACCTATTTCGATGATACTATATTTGTTAATTTATCTCTTGAACCTTTAATTCTACGCAGAGAAGAAGGTTTGTTTGAATTTCATAAAATTTCTTCAATTGAAACAAATTTGTCGTTTGGAGTGGAGCAAACAAACGAATGTTTGACTCAACAAACAAGATTGGTTTCTCAGACAATAAATATATCTCTTTCTTTTTACGTCAAATAACACATTGTTTTTATATTTTCATCCAAACACGTTGCAACGTGGTTTTCACAAGTAACAAATTATTTAAAAAAAGTAACACTGTGTTAGGAAAATATTAAGGAACTGCTTTGTTTCAGTGGAACGATATTTAATATATAACGAAATTTCTCTTTGATTGAAAATCAAGAATTATCTCCTTTAAGTAATATTGTTTTCTCTGTCGAACAACATGGTTTTATTCTGATGAGGCAACGTTTTCATCCAAACAGAATGATATTTGATATTAAATTATGTTGTTTACATTAAACAAACGCGTAATATATATTAAATCCAAGGAAATCCTTTTCTCTGTGTACAGATTTAACTTTGATTCTACCTTGAAATTATAAATACCCTCTATATTTCGATTCTTAAATTCACAGGAGTATTCAAAATAAGTGATTTCGCCGCCGAAAGCAGCCAAAACGAAAGCTTCAGATATTATCATGGTCAAAGTAGGAGTAATAAATGATATCATTAGAATCGGACCTATTTTGCTATCTTGGTCCCTACCGAGTAGTAGAATTAAGGGTCTAAAACGGGGCGGCAAAAGTCCGATTCTCGGTTGAAATGATGTACGAACGATCACAATCAGCTGTAAATCACCGTCGAGGAATCTTACCTGAGATATTCCCCATTTTTCTTGCAGACGATCTCAAGTACGTGCAACAGACTCTGCTGCAGTGCGCTAAGCGGGCGGGCTCGCTCGACAACATCACCGTGATCGTGGTGTTCCTGACGCCGCCGACCGAGATCGCGTCGCGACCCCTGAACGCGCATCCGCTACTGTCGTATCCGGTGCCGAATGGTCTACTGAACAACATGGACCCGAACAATCCGTTCCTGTCGAACGTCAACGGCCAGTTCGACGTGAACGCTGCCTTCGTCAAGCAGCAGCAGAAGCTCGACGCCGATCTGCAGCACGAGAACGGCACCGACGCTCTCGAGCTCGACGACAATCGCCGGCTGATCTACGCCACGGGCTCCAGCAACGGGAAGCACGTGGAGGACGTGGACGGTAACGACGACTACGATTACGGCGACTTAGGGCCGGAAACGGACGTCGACGCCGTCGACGACGCGCCCGACGTTCGCGACCGGCTGTCGCGCGAGCTCTTCCCCGACGACGAGAAGCCACGGCGGATAACAAGCGAGGGTGACAACAACGTCGAGGACGACGACGACGACGACGACGATGACGACGAGGACGACGATCTTAACCGTGACAACGCGAACGTCCGCCGGCAGACGTACGACGAAGTCGACGTGATGGACAATCGTATCCGAGGACAGAGTGATGAGGACGTTTACGGCGCGGACGACGACGTGCCGCGCGACAACAAAGACGACGACGTGTCGCAGCCGCCACGCGGCGTCGTAGATAGCGACGCGCGCGTCGCCCAGCCCGACGTACCCGACGTCGTCGACGACGACGACGAGTCGCCACCCTCGCCACCGCGAGCTGCTAGTAAGTGCAACCTGTCGTCCGTAAGGACTCGCTTGTGCGTCGCGCTGGTCTACGGTTACGCTTATCACGCGGTGAGCAGTCTGTTCGTGTCGTTGGCGAACTACATCTCGAACTCGTTCGGCGCTCACGTCCTCGGGCTGCGCCGGAAGTGAGCGGCGTCCCTCCCCGCTGTGTATCTGCTCGGCCGAGGTGTCGTGCCGAGGAGGATCGCCCCGGACGAGTTCGACGGACGGAACGACGATGGGTCACAGCCGGCGAGACGACACAATGTAAAGCTCCGTAGTCTCGCCGCCAGATACGCGACATCAACGACGAGATAGTGCGTCTAGTCATTATGCGAGACGGGGGAGGCACGCGGGGGTACCTTACGCCTTACTGAAAGAACGTGGCGAGAGAGGGAGATAACGAAATGTAGTCTTTGTCGTGTAGGGCGTGCGGAGAGAGAAAGAGAGAACGGAAGAAAGAGAGGACAACGTTGTAACAATATCGCGCGCTCCGAGAATACGGAGTGTGGCGAGTTCATTGTGAGTCCCTCCGCTGTCTCGAGACGGCGGTCAGCTTTCCGCTCGGCGTTTCTCCCACGTACGAATGTCGTCGAATCGGAAGCGAAGCGGAGATACAGGTTCAAACGCGCGCATTATCGCGCGAATTTATTCGCCCGTCATTGAGGGATAATGGTGCATTCTACCACCCTCCCCCCTTCCGACGTATTTTTTGTGCTTGCGTGAGATCTCACCCTCGCTTACTTCCGTTCTCCGTGTCCCGTTTGAAACACGGACGTCGTGTCTCTTATCGACTTGTCAGCAAGATTGCACTCACAGTGTAGGATATATCTTATCTCGATAGAGCTTGGAGTCACAAGCGAAGCTATTATCTCTCTTTCTCTCTTTCTCTCTCTCTCCGAGAGTAGCATATATCGTGTGTGCTTTATCGCATCCTTTCCCTCTTTCACCCTCTTTCACACGTGTGTCGTAAGCATCGACAAACCTACGTTTTATCGTATGTAACTTTTTTTTTCTTTCTTTCATAGACCTAGATTAATGGCAACTTTAGAGCCAGTGCCGATCGCACAACGCCACGTCTTTCTTATTACGCTCTCTGTAGAAGCAACTAGACTGCGAACGCGGTCTGAGAAAAACGCTTGCGATTTGTACACCTTGCCTAACACGCGCGCACAACGATTAAAAATAGAATCGTGCAGAAGCAGCCGAGTATGTCAGCGAAAATACCGTACGAGGAGAACAGTTGGTCTCGTCTAATCGACTACTGAAATTGATTCTATTCAACCCGCATTTTGCACAGCGGCGGTACAAAAACGGGAATTTCAACGCGGTAAGGGTAATAAAAAGTCGCACTTGTTCGATAAATCCGCCGTGCGCTTTCTCGATAAGCGGAAACGCTGAATGTAGGATAGCCACGGGAGCCAGTTGTAAACTAGGCGTCCCGTAAATCTTTCGCAGATACCGCGATTTTTACAAGCCTCATTGTGTCTAGATGTTTCTGTGAGAATGAGGTTTGTTTATGAGAAAGATAGTAGATAAGCCGCCCGAGCGGTAATTAACGGCCGATGCATTCGATGCATTCTACACGTCAAAGATTAAAGCTTGTGAAGGACTGTTCCAGATGCGGCAAATTTCCGTTGGTATTGAGAAATCGTTCCAATCCACGTTTCAATTCCACTATTCCGAAGGTAAATTCGATTCATGAGATAAAAGTTTCGAGAAGTTTTATGTTCATATACGTTTTAAATTGTACCTGACAAGGAAAAAAAATCTCAATTGCTCTTCAATCTTACGTCGAGACGCGTCACATGATAGACGGTGAATCAGTGTTTACGTCGACCATTATCTTTGGGACAAAAAATAATTGACAAATACGGATACAACGGATAACGTTGATTTATATCTGACAGGGCAGAAATATTTTCTTGCGTCGTCTAGTGTACATCCATACCCTATCTTGCGCTTTACTCTCTTCTTTCGCTTCCGCTTACTTCTCTCCGTCTCATCCACAAGCGAATTTCCTTCCCCTTTTCACTAAATATATACCGTATTATCGTGTGCCATGTCGGCGACGTTTGACGATACGTGCAGCCGTAATTGATTATAGTCATGCCGGAAGGATTCAATCCGCAAATTATGATTTTTGAGATTCTTTCATCAATAAGCAGTCTATATGTCTTCCTACATAAAACAAAAAGGCCTGAGCTTTATGGACGCGTAAAATTAATTAGAAATAGTTTTCATCTTCTACTAGTACTATTTTTTTTTACCAATTACGCCTTTCTTTACCTATTTCTCAAGTGTTAAGCTTGTCAATGAATACCCTTAAGGAGAATGAAATGTGCCATCTTCGATTTCTCGGACGACTGTGAAGGACCTCAGCGCTATTTATACCGTTTATTTAAATCGTATATCAAATTATCATTTACATCTTTCTCGAATATACTTGCGGGTTGGATCCTTCTCGCTGAACTATATGGCTAATTAATAAACTCGACGAGAAACTGATAGCCCACCGAGTCGACCTGACTTTTTGCATTTTTCACACGAATCTCCGGGAACCCTCGAGTACCGTCGTCACCGGCAGCTTGAATATTTAGCAAGATACCTTCGAGCATATCTCTCGGCGACGCCCGATACCGTTACGTTCGAATCTGGCGCGCCGCGGCGCAAGCTCGCGCAGCACGCCCGCGATTGGTCGCGGCCGAGGCCGGCGGCGGCCAATCGGCCGGCGTGCCGCCAATTGTCGCGGTCGCGATAGAAGGGGCTCTCGCCGGCAGTTCCTTACGAGCCTCGTACGGTTGTGAGTGCGCGTTCTCCTTTCCGAGCTTCTGCGAGTGTTCCGCCGCGACGCACCAGCCCCAGTGCACGAAATACGCCGGGATCCCTCAGTTGGATATACACACGCTGCTTCCTGGTGAGACCGTTATCGCCGCGTCTCCGACTGCGGGGCATCCGCTGACCGGGTGCGAGGGACGTTCTCGGAGGTACGTTGAATAGCCACGCGCGCGCGCGCGCACGCACGGCCTCCATCGTTCCACCGGGAACGCCGAGGCCGAAACGTGAATTTAAATTTGGAACGGACGCCGCGACGCCTCCGTTTCGGTCGCAGACGCGCGGCGAAGTAACCGACGACGCTCGCGAAGGTGGCCGAGCCGGCCGGCGACGACACCGGAATCCTCTCAGCCCTCGGAATTCCCAGCGTGCTCGCGATGAAAATACGTTCTGCGTAGCGCGATGGTAGCGCTTCCCGTCGTTGGGAATAGACATAGAATCCGTGGCCCGGAAGTGAGAGCTCCGCCGAGTTTATACCTGTTTCGAACCGGGCCCCTCCCCCGTGCTTCTCTCTCTCTCTCTCTCTCTCTCTTTCGTTTTCTCGCTCGTACATTCGCTTGTTCCTACGTCGATTCTCTCCCTCCTCCCTTTCTCCGTCGTTCCTTTCTAGAAAAATGCGTCAAAAGTCGAATCGAGTGCGATACATTGGCGTTTTCGCTCTTTCTCGTGTGCTCTCTTTCTTCTCTCCGAGTTTGTCATGTGTCTTTTCTGCGAACAGGAGAAAAAGAGGAGAGACAAAGAGAGACAAGGAGAGGCGGGNGGGGGGGGGGGGGGGGGGCAGAAGAGACAGTTCGCTTCGCATCATACGAAGCGTGTACGAAAATACCGTGTTGTGAAACCGCTGTGTGTCGTTTGCTGCGTCCTCGTGGACAGCGCGTCGCCGTAGTCGTCGTCCTCGTCCAAAAATCGAGGTCGCCTCGCGCTCTCGTGTCAATCGCGTTGTCGTCGTAGGGTGGGCGTTGATTGGCTACATTTATTGACCACAGGCCGCATCGACATTGGCCGACACTAGAAAAAATCGCCAAATCACGGCCGGTGATTGATGGACGGTCAATTGCAACGTGATCCAAAGAGAAGACCCTCCCGTCGTCGTGCGTACACCCTCGCACCGTTTCCTCTCGCGAGTAAGTCGCGGGAGGACCGCACCTCCGCCGAGCTCGGTTCTCTCGTCGCTGTAAATACGCGAAAATAGATCTTACGCCAGTTCTCGCAATCGCCGCGGCAATAGTCGTGACTAAACGCGGAGACTCATCGTCGCGCCGCCGAAGCAACGGCGAATTCCGAACTCGCGCCGGAACTGGGGTCGGAAGGAGGGGGNGGGGGGGGGGGGGAGTATCAACGAGCCTTGAATCCCGGCTCGTTGATCTCGTATGCGCGAGGAAGGTTTCTCCAAAGCTGGGTATACACTGAACAAACGAATGTGCGATACGAGTGTGTGTATATTCGCATCTATTCGCGCACGAATTTGCTTCGGCGAGCCCATCTTGCGAGAACAAATTGGCCTGAAGAAACATCCCCCGCCCCGACTCCTCGCCTACATCTTCGAAATTTTACCGACCGAGAATTCGCGCTTGCTGTTGGTGCTTTATTCGTCCGTTCAGTGTGTACATTTACTTGAGATTCCCCCGACTCGTTGCGAAAGATGCGAGAAAATTCCAAACGGGGAGACAGTTCGCTGCCGAGACGAATCTTACGAAAATTTCGGCTCGCCGAGATTCACGACCGGTCTCAGCGGATCCCAAAAATTCCGCTTTCACCGGTGCCCCATAAGAGAACTTTGCGAGAGAGAGAGAGAGAGAGAGAGAGAGAGAGAGAGAGAAGAATCGAGAAAATTCGTCGAACCGCGGTATCGCGATGCGAAAAATTCGCAGTCGCGAATATTTCGCGACGAATATTTTTAACGCATTGCAATTCTAATGATCTCGGTTCAAGCTACGTTCAAGCACGCGTGCGATATAACGGGAATGTCCAAGAGTGAGCGCAAGAGAGAGAGAGAAAGAGATAGAAGAAAGAACCGAGCTGTCAGTATTGGCCGCCGATAAGGCAATTGCAATCCACGAGCTGCTTTCAATAAGGCGCGCCGCGACGCGTAAAATCGCGCGAGGCCCGGCGATAACCGAGCGAGTTAATTGGAAATTTATATAGGTCGCGAGGGGGAGAGGCGGCTTTTCGCGAAGATTCCCTCGCACGCCCCGAGGGGAATCTCCGTCTCTCTTTCTCTCATGATGCAATTAATCCGCCGATCGCGTGTGCCCCCCTTCCTGCGTCGCGTGTGTGTTGTCCCCACGTTCGTATTTATAGACTCGAAAGTAACGTGGTGATCCGTTTCGCGTCCCGACGAGTGAAGGTGCCGATGGCGGTCCTCCTCGATGTTGTCGACGCGCGACACCGAGGTAATTGGATCTCCATCGTCGCGTCGGGAATGCCGCAGAGAGAGAGAGAGAGAGTGGTCTTACGCTGATCCCAGCGAATTATCACTGACGGAACACGACAGCGATGACGCAACCGGTCGAATCGTTGGAGGTTCTTCCGTCGGTTCTGTCCGTTTCTCACGCACGCTCTAACCGTACTCGAAATTCTCTCTCCGTTCCGCCTCGCGAGTCCGCTCGGCTCGGTCTTACCCTCGAAATCTGACAAGTGCTCTGTAAGTTGGCGCTGTTCCTCCGAAGAGTTCTGAGGTTTCTCTGTGACGGCACGCTTAATCTGCTTAGCTGCCTCTGCGATTTTCCTCTTCATGGCACTCCGAGGGTCGCGAATGAATGTCTGTCGCGCGAGCACGTCGCAACGGTGTCCGCGAATTTTCACGCGCGGGATTGGACACGAAACGCAAACGGGAACTCGATCGTCATGCCGATATTTTCGTAGGCGGGAAACTGAAATCGACGCGTCTCGTAAGTTCCGAGTGAGAGATAATTGACGCTCGTAATTGGACGCGTGAGGGTCAACCCGACCCCCACGTACGCATGAACAACGACGAGTGTTTCTCTGTTTTGTTTCTATCCGTGACGCTGACGTTTTCAGTAACTTACCTCCGTCGCTTACTCTTGGATTTAACAAAATAGTTTAAATAACATTCGAGAATCTCGGTTATAAATAGCAGTTGTGTATTCCTGAAAAGTCTTGCGGGTTAACGTAAAAATGCAAATGCCTGGACAAGTATTTAATTCTGGACGTTTCTATTGTTTTGGTCTTTAAGACTCCGGAATACGCGCTGTGGTTGTCCTTTGGTGACGTCAGAAGCGAGGAAAATCATGCTAATTTATGTGACAGTACATATGTAAATAAAAGAATATACACATGACATAATAATCGTGATCGATTCAGCACACTTGTAAAAATCATTTAAGGACGCTTTCCCTTAATTTGAACAATTAATAAATAGCCGTAAATTAGTGTAACATGCAATTTGCGTTTTTAATCTATCTGTTCTCGTGATTTCTGTCACGTTAATTTTACTATCAAAGAAGGATAGCCACGGTGAGTGTCCAGGAGCCTTAAATACACAGGGAACAAATAGTTTTAAATCAATGATAGGTATTCTCACGAACAAAAGAATGTTATAATATTCTTACATGTTTAGTCTTGAATTGAGTGCAAATCATACTTGCATCAATACAAATTCAATTAAATTAAGACTAAAGATCTAAAAAAATTATGATACGTATGATATTCTTTCTTATTCTCACAAGCATATATATATAATATTCTTTCTTATATAAGAATGTATATCGTTGATTCAAGACTAATTTTTCCCATGTGCGGGAGAAAATTAGTCTTATATCAATGATAGATAGATATTCTTATATAAGTAAGTAATCTTAAATCGTGATAGATAATTTTTATATAACATATTTAAACTTTCAACGTTGAATATATCCTTATATTCAATATATATATATATATATATAAAATTTCGTATTGAAAATTTAAATATTGACGCTTAAAGATCAAAGCAAGAATATTCGGAGTTAAGTACTGGTACTTTTACCTTACCGGCGTGCTTTTCGAGGTTAATAAGCGGTCACATGAAAGAAAGAGAGATGGAGAAAAAGGGAGAGATTATACCAGCGCGGCGCGAAAACTACGCTCCAAAAAAGGATTACCGAATCATCGGCGGATGCTGCTGCTGCCTCGGTAATAACGTCGACACAGATAACGCGCGTTTTTGCGCACTAGCAATTACCACGACGACGATGATGGTTTAGCCGTGCGCTATCTACCCGCCATATCCTGTGCAGTTTATGCGCCGCAGATTTAAGGTCCGCGTTCTCTTCTTCTCTCGGGGTGCAGTTCCGTTTTCCTCTTCTCCGTCGAGGCGTATAAAACGTCGCTCTCATTTCTCACTCGCGCAAAGTGACAGACGACGGTCGCTCTGTTCTCGAAACTTTTGACTCGGCAGCGTTGTTATTGTTACGTTGTCGATGCGTTACACCTGCGCGACGATAATCGACAACGACACTGTCGTTAAAAGTTACAAAATAAACGGCCGCGGAAAATCAAGCGCGAGTTTCGACTCGGGGAGAAGGGAGAGAGAGAAAGAGAGGAGAGGCGCGATAAAAGAAATGCAAAGTTGTGCTTGCGTACCCGTATATATGCGCCGTTTGTTCTTAAATAAACGCCCGTCATTACTTAGATAACTATTTACGTAACGAACGACGTGGTCCTCTGTTGCCGAGGCGAACGAACGGGGATCGAAAGTGCGTATTCGCCAGCATACGGCGCGCACTTCGTCGCTCGGGCTAAGTTGAACCCGTCGTTTATTACGAGGGAATAATTATGAGAGTCGCTCACCGGCTTTTCTTTTTCTCCCCAACGTCGGGCTTTACTCCTCTGTCTCTCTTTCTCTTCGTTTCTTCATCGTGTTTCGCTCGTTTTCGCGGCTATCCCTCCCGGTAATTCGCGGAGCCACGACTGCGACTTGCGCGAGAGTGCCTTTTCGCGACTTAAAATAGAAACTCCCTCGTCTCTTCCGTGTCCACGCGCGAAGCCCAAGGTTAATCCTCTCGGCGCAGCCCCAAAGGCAGAGTGCAAAGGTGTGAACTCGGCACCGGAATTTTGAACGATCGAAGGCCGCCGTGTCGGGCGAGGAAACTCCTCGCATTTGAAAGAATGGAATGTGTGGAAAATGAAACGGTCGATTCAACGA